CATGCTCTTGGGACATCTCACCCAGATTACATCTTCCTGTTGGATATAGTTTCTGCCAGGACTATGTGATCTTTTTTACGTAAGGAATTGATGATATTAACCAACCTTAGCTGACCTAGAAAACTAAGCAGCCTGGTTAGAATTTGGATCCAGAAAATCCCAAGGCATTCTGTTCCGTTCCGTTCCATTCCGTTCCACTCCACTCCACTCCACTCCACTCCACTCCACTCCACTCCACTCCAATCCAATCCAATCCAATCCAATGTTCTGTTCTGTTCTGTTCTGTTCTGTTCTGTAGCTGCCCATCTCAACAAGTGACAATGTTCACCATGTGCGCTTAGGTTTAAGTCCAATAAGGATACTTGGGTTTTCTTTAGAGAAAGGATATGAAATATTCCATAATGATATATGTCCTTAAATATATACTGAAACACGTTAGTTTTTATACCTTAGTTCAGGATTTCTCAAGTTGTGTAATGTTATCCCCTTTGGGTCAGGGCAGTAAGAGTCCAGGTGAGATGTGAAGAACCTTTCGGTTACATTGTTGCAATAAATCCACCTTTCCCAAACTTTCATTTTATTGTTTTCATTATTCATTTGTATACATTTCCATGTTTTGATTTTTAGGGAAGGTGTGTACATTAAGACTACAGTAAAGCCGGCTTGGTGACTTTGGGCCAGTCATTTTTTTTTCTTAGCCCAACCTACCTCCTGGGATTGTTGTTGTTGTTATGGGGAAAATAGGAGAAGGAAGGAGTATTAGATATATTCCCCATCTTGAGTTATGTATAAAGTAATAAAGATGAAATAAAAATCTAGTATTTAAAGAGAGGTAGGATGACAAACATTTAGGAGCTTCATTCTTAGATATATTGTTTATCTACCCAGGCTTTATTATCTGTATGTTATTTTCATGCTTTCTTAAATGTTCCATGTTTTGCTAACTTGTGTTCATTTTGATACTCAGTAAAGTTTTTAAAAGGGAAATCCTCTGTGCTGCGGTGGGGGAATTCATTGAAGACAGCATTGGCAAACCATCCCCCAAAAAACGTGAGCTCAGATGGAGGACAATTTAACTTGATGAAAAACATAAATGGTTCCAGCTAACTAAAATTTACTCCTTGAAGCAAATACCACACCCTACTGCCCCAGGCAGTTAATTTTCTACTGTTCCCCTCTCCCAAACTCTTCCATATTTCTAGCATCTCTGTGCCGCAATGAGTTTTTGAGGTTCATAAACACTTTGATAGTTAATCTGTCCATTATCAAAATGAATAGAAATTGCAATATTAAAAGTACCCCCCCACACACACACACACATATAAGAGGAGGCCATCCGTCCCATTGCATAACCAAGGTCAGAGAAAGAGGTAAAGGCAGGGGTGAAATCCAGCAGGTTCTGACAGGTTCTGGAGAACTGGTAGTGGAAATTTTGAGCAGTTCGGAGAACTGGCAAATACCACCTCTGGCTGGTCCCAGAGTGGGGTGGGAATGAAGATTTTGCAATATCGTTCCCCCAGCAGTGGGGAGGGAATGGGGATTTTGCAATATCCTTCCCCCAGGAGTGGGGAGGGAATGGGGATTTTGCAGTATCCTCCTCATGGAATGGGGTGGGATTTTGTAGTATCCTTTTCCACCAAGCCACACCACGCCCACCAAGCCACACCATACCCACAGAACCGGTAGTAAAAAAATTTGGATTTCACTGGGTAAAGGGTCTGACCACTGATTTCGCAAAGAATCAGATTTAATACACAGCTGTCCCTGGAATTCTATCTTAACCACTTCTTAGCTTTTCTACTATAAAACTCCCAATTAGATATGCCAGTTGAGCTGGTTCCAATGTAGCCTGCCAGAAGAAACTTGATACATCTGCATTTCTTGCTTTGCATCCAAAGACCCGTTGGACACCTCTTTACTCATAGTTTCTCATTGCTGCCATGCTTCCACCCACACCAGTTACTTTGATTTCCGCCCTGTTTCAGGTGGAAGGAAGAAAATGGTACAAAATTGTTGCTTGGAAATGCCATCTGACTCAGCCTAATTCACTGAAGACTAATAAGGAAGATGCACTGATGGGCTAGTTTCTGAAGGCAGAACGATAGCTTTCTGTGAGCATTCAAATGCTGTTTTTCTTAGCATTTATCTAAATGCTAGGAGAACATTTTATCACTGCATTGATCAATAATCATTACTTCAAGGAATAGCCTAGCTGGGCTCTTACCTAACATGTGATTCCTATGACTATGTCTTTGGGCTTAAGGTGTGTCAAATTTTTCAGCTTTCAGTTTCCAAACGTTAGGGGTGCTCAAAAGTTATGACATGTCTTGGGAATTGTAAAGATATTTTGGTTACTTTAATATAATTTAGATGTACTTGGTAAGTAACTACATAAACATCATAACTTTTTAACATTTTGTTTGTTTCATTTGAAATGGGCAATCATATTTCCTACCAATTCCAACAGTATAAATCCTCAAAAAATAATAGCTGATTTTTTTTAAAAAAAAAAATCCAGTTGAGTTCTGCAATATGCTGTCAAAAGCTAATGAATTTTTATGATCAGAAAAGAAATCAAACGTATCCAAAGCTTGCTTGAAAAATTGTGTGTACGTTTGGGAGGGGGAATTTTATTCTTCCTCCCATCTAAAATGCATTCTGGATTGTTCCAGTTTGAGGCAATTCTGATTGTTACCCTATTTTTCGATATTGTCATATCTTAATTATTTTTTTGATAGTCATACCAATCAGTCCTCGACTTACAATTGTTTGTTTAATGATGGCTTGAAGTTACAACAGCCCCAGAAAAAGTGACTTGTGACCGGTGGTGAAATTGAGCTGGTTCTATCCAGCTCAGGTGAACCGGTAGCGCCGGTGGCAGGAGGCTCCGCCCGCCCACCGCGTCCTGTTTTTTTACACTCTGCGCATGCGTAGAAGGTCCTGCGCATGCACAGAGGTGTCATATGCAAATGTAGCAAGCGCACGCACACACGCACACACTCACATTTGCGAACCGGTAGCGAAGGTAAGTAAATTTCACCCTTGCTTATGACCCATCCTCCTAATTATGACCATTGCCCTACCCCACAATCATGTGATTGCAATTGAGGAGCTTGGCAATCGGCTCACATTTATGATGGTTGCAGAGTCTTGGGGATCATGTGATTACAACATTCCCAGATGGCTTCCGACAAGCAAATCAATTGGGGTAGCTGGATTCCCTTAACAACTATGTAAATTCACTTAATAACCATGATTAAAAATGGTCATAAAATTGGTTCCAATCATGTGATGACTCGCTTAACAACCTTTTCGCTTGATGCAACAAAAATACATAGAAACCACAAGGGAGCAAATTCCAAGTGTGACAAATATGGAAATGATATCCAACTTTTTTTCTTTAAGTAACCACTTCAATATTCAGCCCATTTTTGTTCCTCATTATATCAGCCATTCAGGGGGAGGCTGTTCAACTTAAAATGTAACAAAAAGTTCTTTGGGGATGTGAAGAACTCCATGCTTCTTGGATGAGACGTGAAATGTCTTCAAGGAAAAAACAAAGACAATCCAATTGCCTTTTTAAAAGTACCTTCCAGACAGCCATGACCTGGATGACTGAGAATCCCCATTGACATTCATGAACTACAAGTTCTGAAACCACTTTTACAAAGCTGTATATCCCTAGACTTGTCTTCCTTGAAAGGGTAATCAAGGAATCATAAATTATGAGAACTGAACAGATTCTTAACCCATTCAATCTTATTTTAGGACCAGGGGTGTTGTTGCAATCATGGCATCAGTGGTGGGATTCAAGTAATTTAACAACCGGTTCTCTGCCCTAATGATTTCTTCCAACAACCAGTTTGCCAAACTGCTCAGAAAGTTAACAACCGGTTCTCCCGAAGTGGTGCGAACTGGCTGAATCCCACCACTGCATGGCATCCTTAATGAATGTCGATTTCTGCTAAAAATTTCTCTAGTAAAAATCTTTTCCGATTTAATTCCATCTCTCACAATCTACAACGAGAGCTCTTCATCCAACAAGCTACGGTAGTAATAAGAGAACTGACATTGGGTTCATAGGTGAAGTGGCAATATATAAATAAAACAAATAATTTTAAAAGGTGGAAATTACAACCCAGTATATACTCTATGTGTGTGTGTGTGTGTGTGTGTGTGTGTGTGTGTGTGTGTGTGTGTGTGTGTGTTTTTGAGGGACTATAGGTGTGGGGTTCCATGGAAGGAAAAATAACCAAAGCAACAGGTTTGTGGAATATTTGTTGCTCCCTGAGCTTGGTTGTTTTCCTGCAGATGTTTCTTTGGTTTCTATTAGGTGTTGGTGAGCCACTGTACATAAACAGAGAGCAAACACCACTCCTTTCTAGCATTGAAGATGTTACCTAGCTGGGTAATGAAAAAATTGCAAGAAAATAACCAAGACAAGAGAGTACCAAGGACCCAACAATTCAACCCTGAGCTACAAATATTCTCTTCTACTGGCAATAGACTTGATTGAGTTACAACAAGGTTGTATGAATCAAGCTGGAGAAACATCCTACCTCCTAGGTCCGCTGACTTGATGACTGCAAGGGAATGTTGACATTCACATATACATCATCTAAGAATCTTTCCTATTACTCAACATCAGTTTCCTATCACCCAACTCAATCATTTATTACAAAATCAGTACAGCTGTGGCTTTTTTAAACACATCGTCTTAAAATATGTAAAAACTCAACTAATGTGCATGTATACATGATCGAAAGTTTTCTTATCTGCTTTCTTCTTTTTAGCTTCCTCCACAATAAATGTATTGTGGATTGGCAGCCTAGCGATCATTGCCTATACATAACTGACTTCAGCCTTATTCTCATATGGGATTACAAAAAATATTTCTTAAGGTTTGAAGTTCCCCTAGCAAGTTCTTTCTCAGTACCTTAAAGAAGCAGACCATCTCTGGTTGCAATTCTTCTAAACAATCCATTTACAAGAAAACTTACATCCAGATGCTAGTTTGGATATCACTACTGACAGGAGAAGAAATGCCCAACTCTTCATTATCGCCGCAGCCCAGATGCTGAGTCTCCAAGAGGTACAGGAAACAGACTCAACCAACTTCAGCCAGTTGTCATTGCTACATCAGTATATATTACATGGGTGGTTCATGTGGAGTCAAGCTAGGAGGAGTTTGAGGTTCAAGGATAGATAGCACAGCATCCCACAAGGAAGGAGAGGGGCGTGTCCACCAATATCAACCCTTGCCATAGGCATGAGTCTATGTGTTCTAGTCTGATATAAATCAAATTAATCCAAGCAGGAAATTCTTGTTTGCAGCTACTGTGACACACGCATCTGCCCATAAGACAAAAGTGTGCTGAGATACAGCTATTTGTAGTGAATTCATCTGGGAAGGTCTTTATCTGTGTAGGATGCCCATTAACGCCTTCAAAACACGATGTTAAAATGATAGTGTCACTAAGAAGTTGAACTAGGTCACACTTGACACAAATCTCACCTCTCAGCCACAAAATTTGCAGCATTAGACAAGCTACATGCTTTCAGCCCCAAATCCTCATATCAATTAGCAATATATGAGGATTCCGCAAATACTGTACCACTGAGGACTTTAGACTCAGAGAAGACTTCAAAGACTAGCTGCCTTACAGACAGTAGATCCCCACATGGGCGGGGAAGATGATCCAAGATCATTTTAAATCCTAACATTCTGTATGCAGATTAGTAGCAGCCAATTGTACAGTTCATAATACCATGATATTCAGCATAGATAAATAAATAGGTGTGTGTGTGTGTGTGTGTGTGTGTGTGTGTGTGAGAGAGAGAGAGAGAGAGAGAGAGAGAGAGAGAGAGAGAGAGGAGGAGGAGGAGGAGGAGGAAGACAGAAGGAAGGAAGGAAGGAAGGAAGGAAGGAAGGAAGGAAGGAAGGAAGGAAGGAAGGAAGGAAGGGAGGGAGGGAGGAAGGGAGGGTGGGAGGGAGGACAGAAAGATGGATGGATGGATGGATGGATGGATGGATGGATGGATGGATGGATGAATGGGTGGAAAGATGGATGGAGGAATGGACAAAGTGTAGATGGCCTAGGAGTGGAGAGACTCAGGTTCTAGTCCTCCCTTAGATATGGAAGCTGGCTGGACGTCTTTGGGACAGTCACTGTCTTTCAGCTCTGGACTGCGAAGTCAAAAAACCTCTATTTATTATTTACTATTGAGGACATTTCAAAACAGGGAAGCTGAAGTTGTTCTAGTGTAGAAGAGAACATTTTTTAAAAAAATAATTGCCAGGGTTCTATTTTCTGTTTCACTTGATCCCCATAAGATTTGAAGATAAGACATTAAATAACTGGCAGAGATAGTTAACCAATTTTATATGAGTTAATGATAAAAGACCCAGAGTAAATTTTAACATTTTATAAGATTTGAAAGGACAAGACAGATTGGCAATACTAAAATTTAAATTACTAAGATAAATGGATAGTTTAATTTATCAAGATAATATAAATTGCCAAGGTAATCTGGATATCAGAATGGATGTAACACTTTGTGGCTAGATTGCTTCTCTGGAAGAAATAGGACCTTCAGATGGTCGGCTCAAATATCTTTGTCTGATATAAATAGAAAAGTACAAAGTTTAAGGAATCACTCAAGAATAAATAGCATTTTAAAAGTATGGGATAGAGCAAGAAACAGTCCAGATTTATGGCCTCTTACTTTGATATTAAACTTACTTTGATATTAAATAGTAATTTCCGCGATAGAGAATGTACAAAGAAATGTAATCAGGAAAGGACAATAACATTAATAAGATGAAGATGAAATACTTCAAAATTTTCTCCTCCAAACTACTAGAGCCACATCTTCAGTTTCAGTATCTACAAATAAGCAGTATAGTTCAAAAGGGGTTACAAAACCAAGACAGTATGCTTAGAAATTCAACAGTTTGAAAAACCTATTACACAAAATTCAGATAATGTCCTGGAGCTGATCTATATCTTGAAATAGAATTCAGAAAGGAACCAAGTTAAAGACTATGAGTAAAGTCATGCAGAATTTAAGCAGACCAATTGATATGCGACAGTGAGACTATCAGTGGAAGAAAAATATCATATTCATGGTTAATATGCACTTAGAAAAAATTGCTACACGATGTAAATGACAATGAGAAAAGACTTCCAATGCAAGCAAGTGTGCAATTGACTTACTAAAAGAATCTACCAAGACTTATTCTGCCCATAGCTTCCACTGCCAATTCAAGTAGGAGTCTAGGAAGACTCATAAATTGCATACTAGTTCTGCCTAGGAAAGTGCAAATCCATCTGGGATGGAAAATTCCTGGCACAGGAAGAACCATGCATTGTATAGCCACTTGGTCTTATCAGGGTTGCCTGTTTTTTTTCCATTTAAACCACCTCCACCTCCAAGTATTGGGATGAGACCTTGATATCATCACCCGATTGACCTATAACTAAGTATCAATGCCATATTCGTGATACTTGATGTTGTGTTGACAGGTGATCTCATCTAGTAGCTTCATGTAGACTTTGAACAGGAGGGGCCCAAAGTGAGGTCCTACAGCACCTCACAAACCAGGGGTTTGAGTTCAACCTCTTCCCCTTCTCAACGCTTTTAGTAGCAGACATGGAGAAAATAGAACAATAGAACACTGTAACAAACTGTCTTCCACTCCCAATTCCCATAATCAGTCTTAGAGGGGCATCATGATTGATGATACTGAAACCTGCTGAGTGATCAAAGAAAATTAGGATGACTGTACCAACTCCATCCAGTCTCCATCCAAGATAGTCTATGAGGGCCATGTCTACCAGGATCCTGCCTGAAATGGTTCCAAATCAGTGGTGGGTTGCTACTGGTTTGCCCCAGTTCAGGCGAACTGGTAGCGGCGGTGGTGGGAGGCTCTGCCCACCCACCTAGACATCATCAAAAAGCTCTGCACATGTGCAGAAACTTCTGCGCACTCCCAATAGCGAACTGGTGGCGCCGGTGTTTGAAACCCACTACTGGTCCAAATAGTCCCCTTATTCTAAATCTGCAACCTGATCACTTTCTCATCAACCATTCCTAAAAAGGCTAGGTTGGAGATTGGATGAAAATGATCCAGAAGTGTTGGGCTTTGATGGAATCAGCAGCTGAAAGGAAGTAAGTTCCAGTAAAGTAGGGGATGTTGAGAGATGTTCCAACTGGGACTCCATAGGTAGGAGGAAGTCAGTAGTGGGTTGCCCCCGGTTCAGACTGGTTCGCAAGAACCGGTAGTAAAACCGGCGGGTGGCCCCACCCACTGCCCCAGATGTCATCATCAGCGATTTGCGCATGCCGTTGTGAACCGGTAGTAAAGGTAAGTAGAACCCACCCCTGGAGGAAGTGTATGAGATCAAACACTTAGGTCTATATGAGGCTTTTCCAGGGAAAAGCAGGCAGTCTAGTGAGATTCCTGTGAACTGGTGAATCAACAATAAAGAAACCTCTTGACTTTGGCCTCCGAGCTATTCCGGTTGCTTGCACCTGACAAGGGTCAAGCAATGACTTATTGAGGTGGAAGGAACCACCTGCTCGTCAAGGAATGGATCCAATCGCCTCATCTCTTAGAGGTTCTAGTCAACTAGGAGATATATGGATTACACATATATAAATAGGAATGTTTTTTGCTCATTGATTTTGTAAAACGTAAACAGAGTGAGGTTGCTTCAAATCCTGTCAATATCATCTTTTCACGGGGCCTGGGAAGCAGATGTTGCAACACCTGCTGCCTGGAACAGCAGGCCACCCCACTGCCCTTAGAGGTTTGATTAGCTCTGAACCTGCTATCCATTAAACAAGTCTTGAAGACTGGGCTTTTACCCCTGACCCTGGATCGCATAGTTATCTACACTGCCTCATGTTGTATTCATTTATGGTGTATGTCTGTTCCAGTGGTGGGTTTCAAATTTTTTTACTACCGGTTCTGTGGGTGTGGCTTGGTGGGCATGGCAGGGGAAGGATACTGTAAAATCTCCATTCCCACCCCACTCCAGAGGAAGGTTACTGCAAAATCCCCATTCCCTCCTGATCAGCTGGGACTTGGGAGGCAGAGAATAGATGGGGGTGGGGCCAGTCAGAATTTTTACTACCCGCTCTCCAAACTACTCAAACTTTCTGCTACCAGTTCTCCAGAACTAGTCAGAACCTGCTGAAACCCACCTCTGGTCTGTTCCTCCTGTTATGATCATCTTTTATTATTTTGATTTTATGTACTGTGGTTTTGTTTTTAATGTCTATGTTGCCCAGAGTCATTGTTGAGTCTCTCTCTCCCTCCCTCTCTCTGTTTACTATACAGTATTATAGTCCAGGGTGTCAAATCTATGGAGCAATTTTTGGCCAGCTTGCTTCATTTCCAAGGCATATTTTACTTCTGTTTTTTTTTTATTGTTGCAATATAGCAAAAAAACAAAAAACAAAAAACAACCCCTTCTTATCATTTGTGGCAGAAACATATTTCAAGTAACAATGCTAATCCATGAAATAGAGAAAGAAACTAAGTTAATGCTGTTGGCCAAACTTCCCAAGATTCAGCCTTCAACTCAGGAATAGGTTTTGAGTTATTCTTATTGCTAGCAAGACAAAAGCTTCAGGCTGTCACTTTAGCCACAACAAAGAGCGTAGATTTTTGACTCCACCCATTGGGATGAGAAAGCTCATCAAATAATCTTTTGGCACAAATTCATACATGCCAGCACACACACAAAAGATTCATGTGAAACAATTGTGTATATGCATTTGGCGCTTCCCATTAAATCTCTATGAAAGGTACCTGTCCATCTTTGAATTTATGTCCCATCAATCCTTGCTAATGTAGACAATACTGGGCAATCTGTGGGACTGCCTTTCCCTAAGGACATCTATCCATCCTACTAGGTAGACAGGCTGAGTACACTCCTTGTCCTTTTCCCAAATATTGGGAACTAGGGAACTAGGAAGTGTGCCTTTTCTGTGACAGCCTTTGCCCTATAGAACACACTTTCTCCTGAAGTTCAGCAGGTCTCTGCCCTTTTTGCCTTCCATAAAGGCTTGAGAGAGGATTAGATAATGGCACAG